TCTCTCTCTCTCTCTCTCTCTCTCTCTCTCTCTATATATATATATATATATATATATATATATATATATATATATATATATATATATATATATATATATATATATATATATATATATATATATATATATATATATATATATTGGAACATGAAAGAGGGGTAAACCCGGATATTAGTTAGTGGTCAACACACATCTCAGTTGGTCATAGGGGTGAAATTTGAGAAGAATGATAAGATATTGAGTCTCACCAGCGGCAGTGGCAAAGGTCTAGCCTCTGTGGTTCAGCTGAGGCACCTCAATAAAGATGTAAGTGTAAATTTTTAGTTGTATTTCTTTGGCATTGTAGTTATTCATTTTTTAAATTTAATTTGTTTTTATGTATATGAAATGTGTTTAGATTATTATTTGTATTTATTTATTACTAATTATGTTTTCCTTTTGTATTTATTGCCTTTAACGAAAAATATAATAATTAAATTATATAAGATACATATTCTTAATAATTGATGTATATTTTTAAAATAATTGATGTATTTAGAAATGAATAGGTAAATAGTTTATTAAATATAATAATTAGTTACCTAGGTTCATTTTTAGTTTAGGGTAAGGGGTAAAAGATGTATTCTTTCAATTTACAACTCTGATGATTATATTAGTTGAAATGCTTTCATATGCCATGACCGTTAATAAAATTAAAGGACAAACACTATCTCACGTTGAATTGTTATTGAAGATAAATCCATGATCAATTGTATGTGATTTAACAATACCAATGGTCCCAAAATATTGAATTTTAGTGACTTGAATATGATTTGTACTTCAACTACATACTTATGTTGTTTATTAAGAAGTTTTTAATAATTTTTAATTTTTAATTCAAGTCTTAATAAAAATTTTATATTTAATATAATTTGTGAATTCATTGAAACCACAATTATAAATGGTTTCCACATATAAAAAAGAATAAATTAAATATAAAATCAACGTAGTTCTCACATAAATAAATCTTTTTAAATAAATAAGGTTTACATAACATATTTATAGTTGAAATTTAATAAGACTAATAGTTCTTAGTATCATAACATAACAATAATACTTATAGTTCATGTTTGGTAAATAGTTAGCCTATCAGCTAATTTTGGCTTATTTGACCACTAGTAATTGTTTGATTAATTTGGTTAAAAAATCAATATAAATGCTTGGTTCATTAGTTTTTTATAACTCCAAAATGTTAAAATTTAAAAAGCTACTCGAAGCAACTTTTTCAATTAGCTTCTGAGAAAAATAAATTATACCAAACAGCTATCAGCTAACAGCCAGTTTACCAATCACTTTTCTACAATCAGCTAATGTTATCAACTAGTTATACTCTCTAATTAACAGCTATCAGCTAACAGCTAACAACGTAACCATTTACCAAACATGGCCATAATCTTAAGTTCGTGCATCACATGGATATCATACTAACAACAACAACAAATTTAGCAATTAATTAAATAGTTACAATTTAAATACCTATGATTTTTAATATTTTACAAAAAAATAGAGAAAATTTCAATTTTGGTCCATTGACTATTGGAGTTGTGTTAATTGCAACACTTGATTTTCAAAAATGTTAATTTAGTACCTTGACTATGCAATTTTTTTCAATTTTCGACCAAATTACCGGTGAATTGTGACCGGAAAATCTTAAGTCAACATTTAAACTGAATTTGAATGGGCAAAACCGTCTTTTCTTGTTCCTTTCAATTTGGGAAAATGAATTGCAGACCAAAATTACATTCGGCGAGCTATGAACCAGCAACATTCCGGCGAAGAAAACTGTCACTGTCAAAAGGGAAAATATTCAAACTTTCAGCGTAAGCCTAACACAACACTTAACTCATACTTTTCCAAAATCTATCATTTTTATAATTTACAAAAGTCATATATAATTTTTTTTTTTGATAAATTTGATTTTTTTAAGTGTTAGAACACCTGTTAAACTTCTTAAATTTCTTTTCCTCTCAAGAACAATTAATATTTTTTGCACCTTGTGCTCGATGACCCCTCTGTGACTCTCCTTAAGAGGTCACAGGATCGAACCTCGGTAGTGAGATATTGACTCTTTGCGTTGCAACAAATAGAGAAAGTATAAAATAGATATTACTTTGTAATAGAGTTAATTCCAGCAATGATCCTCTGACTATATTGATTTTCCAAAATTAGTCATTGACTTTTAATTTGGACACTTTAGGTCCTTTGACTTTCAATTTCTTTTCAATTGAGATCCTTTCGTCAGAATATGGTTAATTGAATTTTAAATGAAGGGGTAAACTCATCATTTCACTTGCTTATGTATTATTCTTAGTATTTCTCCATTGTATACGCGATATATATGAAGATAATCTTAGTCGAAACCCTAAAATGTTCCTCGTCGTTCCCCATTTGCTGACTACTCGTGTGTGTGCTCCTCTATTATTGAGATGTTTACAATGTATAACAGCGAAATACGAAGGGAGAAATACGAAGAATAATACATAGGCAGGTGAAAGGACGAGTTTACCCCTTCATTTAAAGTCTAATGAACCGTATTCTAACGAAAGGACCTCAATTGAAAAGAAATTGAAAGTCAAGGGACCTAAAGTGTCCAAATTAAAAATCGGGGACTAATTTTAAAAAATCACTATAGTCGGAGGACCATTGCTAGAATTAACTCGTAAATAATAGTACTAAACAAAATATTTTTTTCACTTTTCTATAGTATATATAAGAGACAAATGATAGATTTGATAAAGATTTGAATACTTCACTTTTTGAAAACTTTCCTATAACGTTGTTTAGTGGAGTTTGGTTAATTTTGCTTTATCATCTTTACCATGTTTCCTGAGATGATAGAGGAGACTTCAGAAGTTCAAAAAAAAAAAAAAAAAAAAAAAAAAAAAAAGAAGAAGAAGAAGAAGAAGAAGAAGAAGAAGGAGAGTTTACAAGGAAGTTACCGAGTAACCCCATAGGCCATAGGCCCATGTGACTGACTCTGCAAGGCAGCCGAAAGGTAGTATGCCAAATCATTATTGCGTGTGCTTAGTGGGCCACGGTTCAAAATAAAGAAAAAAATCGTGACGTTAATTGTGTGACATGAGTCGTGCATATTTGAACGTGAGCTGCATTTTCCTCTCTATTGCTTATTAGCTTCTTCTCAACTCTACTATTGCAACATATATTTTTATAATTTATAAAATACATTAGTTTAAAATATTAAGTACATTATTCTCAACTCATAAAATACATTATCTTACACCAATAAATTTATTATTCTAACACATAAAGTACATTATTCTAACTAAATATATTATTTTTTAATAAATAAAATCAATATATAAAAAACATATTTTAAAAATATTTTGTTGAAATATTCTAAATATTACTCATATTGATTTAATTTTTTTTAAAATAGTATTTCAATAATTGTATAATGAATATGTAATAGTAATCTTATAAATATGTAATAGTGATTTTATGAACTTATAGTAACAACGGTATAAATTCAAAATAATTAATTAATCTATTATAGTAGTTATTTAAACTTTAGCCTGTGTTATTATTGGACTAACGGTGACCAATTATAAAAATCAGATCGAAGGACCAAATATGTCTTAGGAATCAAAACTCAATAAGCAAAATTATAATTTTGTAAAAGCTAATTAATCATTATAAAAATGATACTGTTACATGTTTATAAAAATGACATCAATCAATTAATCATTAAATAAATAAATATTATTTTTTATTAAATAAATTAATGTATAAAAATATATTCTGTTAAAACCTTTAAAATATTACACATATTGGTATATATTTTTTAATATATCAGTTCAATAAAAATGAGCTATAGAGGTACAAAGAGTCAACAACAACTCCACTAAGACTTGATCTTATGACATTCCACATAAGAAAGATCACTACATGCCATCTGAGCACATGGTGTTTGGCTCATAATAAGTTTATAAATCTATAATAATAATAATAATAATAATTTTATGAGCTTATAATAATGACTTTATAAATTCAAAATAGTTAATTAACCTATCATAGGGTATTTTATAAACCTTAGCATTTGACATTATTGTACTAACGGTGGCAATCATACAAATCAGATCACGGGACCAAATGTGTCTTATTATATTTTGTTTGTAGTTTATATTTTGTATAATTTTTATTTATTTGAAGTTGTAAACTATTCATTTACTTTAATGCTTAATTTTTGGAGAAAAAAAATGTTTGAGGCGTACAATATAAAATAGTTATAATTAAATTATTAACATAATTTATATTATATTTGCATATCCACGTTAACATTCGAATTTATCAGAATAAATATTCCCAGTTTGCATTATTCAATATTATGACATTGTATAGTATAACATGCATGACATCTCACCATTCTACGTTATTGGATTATATATCCATTATGGTAAAATTCAGGGACTAGTCATTTTCCCTTTTTAAAATTTTGGAATTTGGACGTCAAGCACTAAGAGTAAAATTAACTACTTTGGAGATAATTATGGGCCCTGTTTGGTAAAAAATTGACTTATAAGTTAATTTTGGCTTATTTGACCACTATTAATTGTTTAATTTACTTAAAATATCAATATAAATGTTTTGTTAATTAGTTTTTTACAACTCCAAAAGGCTAAAATTCAAAAAGCTAGTCCAAGCAACTTTTTCAATTAACTTTTTTAGAAAAAAAAAATATACCAAACAGCTATCAGCTAACAGCTAATTTACCAAATACATAATTTTCTACAATCAGCTAATGTTATCAACCATTTATACTCTCTAATTAACACAATCAGCTAACATCTCCATGAGGAAATAATTGTTGCACCGTATAGTACGTCCGTACCATATATCAACTATAAAATTTAAATGGTAATATATATCCATTAAATATAGCAGGACCGGGGCTAGGAAGGTTCATTGCAAATACCAAGCACTTTCCAACTCCTCTCTGAATCTGATCTATATATCTATCCTCCTTCACTGCAGCCTGCACACTTCAATTTCTAGGGGCAACACAACACACTCCTACAATATCAACCATCTTTAGTTAATTTGATACATACAGTAGTACGTGCTCAAATGGAATTGCCTGTGCGCATTGATCTGATGAAGCTGGCCTTATACAAAGCAGCTGTGGAGGATAAACCTGAAGATTACTATACAGTTCTAGAGCAGCAAAGCGCGGCGGCGGTGGAAGACGATGGCCTCCAAGTTATGCCAAATGGAAACACTGTGCTGCATGTTGCAGCGCTCCACGGCCGCCAACATTTTGTGGAAAACATACTACGAGGGAAAGATAACAATCATGCACCAGCCTTATTGTCTTTGTTATTTGCTCAGAATAAGAAAAGGGAAAGTGCGTTACATTATGCAGCGGAGAAAGGCTATGCCAACATAGTCTCTATTCTTATCAGTGCCACCAAGGAGTACATGGATGTTGAATCTGGTGTGGGAGAGATGGAGATGGTACGGATGACAGATAATCTGATGGACACGGCCTTGCACAAGGCCGTGCGAATGAGGCATTTTGCAGTGGTAAAGTTATTGGTTGAAATGGATGATGAATTTGAATACCCTGCCAATAATGCTGGGGAGACACCCATTTACATAGCAGCAAGGTTAGGATTCCGTGACGGTTTGCAGCAACTTCTGAACACATGTAAAAATCCTACTTACGGTGGACCTTTGGGTCGAAATGCTATTCATGCATCATTAGAATCTTCCCCAGGTACACCTATTACACCTAATTACATATGTGTGTAATGCAAATTAAAAGGTCTTTTATTTGTTTTACCCGCTTTAATTTTTGAGCTCTTTTACTTCTCTTAAATACTATTAATTGGTCTTTATGATTGAAATAATTTGAGTGGACTAGTATAGATAAAAATCATAGACAATTTATATCATGGACTAGGGATCACATAGCATTATGCCACTATGGCCTTTGCCCGACCAAACATAATATAAGTAGTGTTTTCATATATTTGTATAACTAATATATATCCATATTAGGATGCACGGAATTACTATTGAAGAAGGAGATCTCCTTGTGCGACATGACTGATGATTCAGGTTGGACGCTGTTGCACTATGCTATTATAAACCGGTATAATGAAGCTGCCCGTATAATTCTTGCGGGAAAAAGTTGTGCAGCTTACCTTTGCGCAGGGAAAGGTGATGAGTGGACCCCGATATTTCACATAGCAGCAAGGTATGGCAACGTTGAAATGATGAAATGCATATCAAATAGTTGCTTCCAAGATTGCTGGATGATGCTTAATAGCAAATCCCAAAATGTCCTTCACGAAGCAGTACTGGGACATAGATTGAACGTGATAGAATATGTTTTGAAGTACTCCCAAACGGACAGCCTTATTGAGGGGAAAGACCAGGATGGAAACACACCGTTGGCCCTTCTTTCCGTTTCTAGTTGCAACCCTTTGAAACGTGTTGCTATGCAGGGTGTTATGTGGAAGCATTTGGTCTTTAATAAACAACACCAAACTCCATTTGCCATGGCCTCCCAAAACAGCAAGTGGGCATTTTCTAAGTATTACTTAGTAAGTACACTTTACTACTTTTATCATTATCTTATGCATGCCATATATATTTAATTCAAATTATCATCATGTCATATATGTGAATTGTGACATTTGTGTAAATAGTGAAAGTAAAACTAATTAAATCATATTCCATGAATAACATTGTGGCAGGGTTGGAAACTTGTAAGGAGTGGTGGTAAAATTGGTTGTCAAAGTGGACTTACAGAAAATAAGACATTGAGGAAAGAATGTGTTATTACAGAAAAGGACATTCATTTTATGGTAGAAACAAATCGAACAAACATAGTTGCAGCTTCATTGATATTTACCGTGACCTTTACAGCTGGTTTAACCGTCCCAGGAGGATACAACAGCAATCATGGAAAAACACAAGGAACGCCATTGTTGTTACACGATTTTGGATTTCAGATGTTTGTTATTTACGATTCTCTCGCTTTCATATTCTCTATTTTGTCGATACTTTTACATCTTACGATGGTTGCAAAAGCCTCATCCATCCAGAACTACAAATCTGCAACGAGATGTTTCATGTGTTGCAGGCTTATGATCATGTTGGCTGTCACTGCTGTTGTAGCTGCATTCATTTATGGCATAGAGTCCACCTTAGCACCTTCACGTTTTCTCTTACCTGTTGTTGCTACCGTATGCACTTTTAGCATTATCGGCATCGGTTATCTCATTTTAACAAATATGTTTCTCATCCGGCGAATTCTTTAGGCCTAAACTAGCTAGCTAGCTTTTAGCACCAACTTTCTGTTTTTCTTTTCCCTGCATATTTTGTGATAGAGTGTGTTTTGTTTGTTAAAATAGATGGATAAAAGAGTATGTAAAATAGTTTGGAGCCTTAAAATGATATGTACTGTCTCTATTGTACGTGATGCCAATTTTTATATATCATTGACCCAATTGTCTATTTCCTTTCAAATATTTGTTGATAAAGCCAATCCCAAGCCCAAGTCTAACCGGAGGAGGTCTAATAAAGATTCCAACACCTCCAATTTTTCTTAATTTGTATAACTTGAGCCTAAGTTATTAAAAAAAAGGCGCCCACACACACATATATATACACACACACTAATTATAATAGGCATATCAGCGTATTGTGTAATTAAATTAATGCCCAAATATGAAAATTAAAATAAACTAATAATATTTAAATATGAAAGTTAGTTAATTGATACTCCGTATAAAATAAAATTGATTATTTTCAATATAATAAAAAATAAGTATTTTTAACTGGTGATAAAAGTAGTAGTAAAAATTTAACTTTTCTTTGGTCAAAAAGTGACGTGATTATAACAAGATTATTGATAATATGGAAGAGTAATTAAAGAGTTATGCAATTAAATTATAGTATAAAAATTTTTCATACTAAGCAACAAGGATAATCCAATCATTATTGTGTGGACCATGGTCCACATAACTGTGTGGACCATACTATTAAATAATTTACATTTATTACACAAATAATGTATTTTTAATATATTAATTAAAAATATACATTTTTTATATTCAGAAAAAGTATATTATTTTGTATAATGTACATTCAATACATGAATAATGTACTTTTAGTATACTAAAAATGTACTTTTTGTTATGGTCCATACATGATTGTATGGACCATTGGCCACACAATAATTTGTGAGGTAATCAAACTAGAACTTTTGAGATATAAGAAGGTGTCAAATTTTTCCAGTTGCTTTTATGATAAATTTACCAGGGGCCAAGGAAGTAACTTGAGATTTGTAGTATGTAAATTTTTTTTTTTTTTTTATCACGACATTTATTTAGAAGCAGTGTACTAGCTAGACTTAATCCTTTAAGCCTCACCCCAACAATCCCTAAATACCTAGTGCTAGAGTACTTGACTCTTCACTAGATTCCATAGATACATTGACATTAGCATCCATTGGAATACAAAGTATAGGTAGAATATTTTAACACGCCGTAGCTGTTGTTGATTTGTTAATCAAAGATATGATCACATGCATATTAATGAAATCGTACACATCTATACAACCATGGAAATCGTTATTTAATACGGAGTAAGTGATAGATGAGTGTGGACATTCACCCAAGAATAGTGTAACATAGTCCCTTGCTAAATTATGTAGTACTCAGTAGTATATATCTACAAGTAGTATTTGAACGTACAGATAATTCCCATATTAATATTTGAGGGCTGCAATGAAAGAGCAGGCCGATGTGCCTGATACCAGATATGTTAGCTTCATGATATTGATAAAGAGACAAAGGAGCAGGCCTTGCTATATCATAGCGAGCGCTTAGGCGCTTAGCCATTGCATATGGTCTCATTAGTACTCCAGCTAGAACACCTTTGCGGGTGTATAATCAAGAACTTATGTGTCTGTGGTGATTGCCATAATGCCATCAAGATCATGTGCAGAATTGTTGAGAGAGAGTTGATTGTTAGGGATAACAAGCGTTTCCATCATTTCAAGGATGGAAAATGCTCTTGTGGAGACTATTGGTAGTTACAACAACTGGAACTCGTGATTAGTAGAAACACCTTCAAGGCCCAACAGGAACCATTACTGTTGAAAGCATCATGATCATGTCAAATGTTAGTTGTTAGGAAGGGATTTATATTTTAGAAGTTGGGGCAGGACTTATACTAGTATGCTATGTTATATTTTTTCTATTCACCTTCAGTAATGCCAACTTGCATCTAGTGGATTTATATTTTAGAAATAATGCAGGCTGGGGAAGCCACAGTTTGTGTGCCTTTACTGGATTCTAAGCGAATATGCAATTGTATTGGTATTGAGTATTGGTTTTGGTACAGAATTAGCAAAAACTAAGACAAGATGAGTGGAGCTGCAGTAGGGGAGAGAGGCTCAACAACCACTAAAACATCAGGTGATTTTCTAAAATCTATTTGTGGACGTCCTGTGGTCGTTAAATTGAACTTGGATGTTGATTATCGAGGTTGGTCACTTGTGCTCTCTACTTGGTGTATCTTCGATTTACTAGGTATTTTTATTATTTCTAACTATTTATTTGAAGAGAAACATTTTTGTGAGTTTGTTACTTTATGCTTGTCATGAAGAAGCATAAAAGACCAAAGAATTGCTTGGAAATAACAATTTACTACTGTTAAAACATCCTATTAAAAATGACCCAAAAGACTTACAAGCTTAAGAAAGGCCAAAGTGAGACTCGGGTTTCCTCCATGGTACATTTTTTTATCATCTACACTCTGACTAGTTTCAAAAGAAAAAAAGATAGCAGACATTAGGAGATCAGGGTAAAATGAGAACTGAAACTTATGGACATATGATTTACTACAGTTCCAATCTATTAGAGATCACTACTGGAAATTATAGAATTTCCGACCACTGAAAATGATCTTAAATCAAGTCGGTGGTCGGAAATTCTATAATTTCCAGTAGTGGATGTTGCCATGATATTGCTCCTAGTCCTAGTATGTACTACCTATCTAAAAAAAAAAAGGTATCCAAATATCGGTTTTACATTCTATGTGGGAAAGCACTGTTGTATGTGCACTTAACATGTGCTAATGCACCTTCATCACATTTTTTACATTCATTTTTGAGTCTAGCGGTTTCTGTATTTGAGTAAGAGAAAAAACAACATAACTACCAAAATACTCAATGAGAAATTAGCTATTCTGGGTGATGGAGAAATATGTGGACACAATATTTCTGTTGAGTATGACAGGAAGAGTTGTTCTCTTTTCGTTAAAATTTCCTAATCATTGATATGAAAGAGTGCAACTGTTGTTTACAACCAAAAGTCTGTCATGAAGGGTTTGTTTTGCTCGAGTGGTAAAGGCCATTTTCACTGTATTTGCTTGTGTTATTGGACTAGTGAAGATACATTCATACATTGCTTTTGCCATTATGACAGATAATCTGATGGACACGGCCTTGCACAAGGCCGTGCGAATGAGGCATTTTGCAGTGGTAAAGTTATTGGTTGAAATGGATGGTGAATTTGAATACCCTGCCAATAATGCTGGGGAGACACCCATTTACATAGCAGCAAGGTTAGGATTCCGTGACGGTTTGCAGCAACTTCTGAACACATGTAAAAATCCTACTTACGGTGGACCTTTGGGTCGAAATGCTATTCATGCATCATTAGAATCTTCCCCAGGTACACCTATTACACCTAATTACATATGTGTGTAATGCAAATTAAAAGGTCTTTTATTTGTTTTACCCGTTTTAATTTTTGAGCTCTTTTACTTCTCTTAAATACTATTAATTGGTCTTTATGATTGAAATAATTTGAGTGGACTAGTATAGATAAAAATCATAGACAATTTATATCATGGACTAGGGATCACATATCATTATTATGGACCTTAGATCATATCGAAATGATGAGGTATAGGATTTCATAACACAAAACACAAAAAGCCACAACACATGATATATATTTACTTATTTTTTCAAATATGATTTAAGTATATAATTTGTGTTCATAGGCACCAAATTTTACACACAAAAATTCATAACATAAGACACAATTATTAATTATTAATTTGTTTTAGGTACAGAATTTTATAACACAAACACAAAAACTCACAACATAAATACATACACATGCATTAGCGTCCACAGTGCATTGTAAACCTTAGTCCATGGTATAGGGATTGGAAATCATATATATGCCACTGTGGCCTCTACCTGACTAAACATAATATAACTAGTGTTTTATATAATTTTATCACCGATATATATTCATCTCAGGATGCACGGATTTACTATTGAAGAGGGAGATATCCTTGTGCGACATGATTGATGATTTAGGTTGGACGTCCCTACACTATGCTGTAAAAAGCCGGTATAATGAAGCTGCCCGTATGATTCTTGTTGGAAAAAGTTTTTCAGCTTACATTTGCGCAGGCAAAGGTGATATGTGGACCAGTGTATTTCACATAGCAGCAAGGTGTGACAACATTGCAATGATGAAGTACATATCAAATAGCTTCCCAGATTGTTGGATAATGCTTAATAGCAAATCCCAAAATGTCCTTCACGTAGCAGTATTGGGACATAGATTGAATATGATAAAATATGTTTTGAAGTATCCCAAGCGGACAACCTTATTGAGGGAAAAGACGAGGATGGCAACACACCGTTAGCCCTACTTTCCATTTGTAGTTGTGACCCTTTGAAACGTGTTGCTATGCAGGGTGTTATGTGGAAGCATTTGGTCTTTAATAAATAACACCAAACTCCATTTGCCATGGCCTTCCAAAACAGAAAGTGGCCATTTTCTAAGTATTTCTTTGTAAGTACACTTTACTGCTTCTATAGTTCTATATCATTATTTTATGCATGCCATATATATTTATTTCAAATTATCATCATGCCATAAATACATGTATGAAAAAAGAATTTAGGGTTGGGGTTCAGCCTTTTGGAAAAATGTATGAAAAAAGAATTGTGACAAACCAGCTTAGTTAGCGTGTGTGACCGTGCACTCTTATTCCTTAAGAGTGGTCGAGAGTTTGAACCCCTCTCGTACGGAAAAATCAATTTGGCTAACACTTTGCCTCTTAATTGGACCGACCCAGTGCGAACGAAGATTAGTCTGAGTATGGTACGGGCTTAAAGGTGTTAGAGCCTGCTCAGGACATCTCATGGTCTGTCAAAAAAATAAAAAAGAATTGTAACATTTGTGTAAATAGTGAAAGTAAAACTAATTTAAATCATATTCCATGAATAACATTGTGGCAGGGTTGGAAACTTGTAAGGAATGGTGGTAAAATTGGTTGTCAAAGTGGACTTACCGAAAATAAGACAGAGAGGAAAGAATGTGTTGATACAGAAAAGGATATTGATTTTATGGTACAAACAAGTCGAACAAACATAATTGCGGCTTCTTTGATATTAACCA